TTAACATGCAGTTACTTTCTCTGTTCATGTTAACAGTCCTCTCCATCAGAAGCATGACCCGTTCCTACTCTTCCTGAGCCCATTTCTGTACTTGTCCACCCCCACTCTCAGATGATAAACACAGCACTGACTGCAGGAAAAGAGAGAAGCCCTCACTTGTTCCCTTGAGTTTCCTTTTTCCCTGTATACGAGCTGATCATATTTTGTATTCACCTGAATGTTTTGTGCTTTTGGTCTCAGAATGAGCTGTTTTTTAACATCAGTCTGTTCACCAGTACTTTTGATCCTATCCTCTTAAAGATTTGCTTCCGCCATTCTCCCCCCATTTGTATTTTTCATGTTTCTGGCTGCCCTTGTTCCTTCCCCTCAGCTTATTCAACTTGACAATATGTATCAGCTAGGGTCTGGCAAACAGCAGGTGGTTGAAGTCTGTTGTTAGTTTGCTTCCTCAATTGCTGCCAGTCTTTCTTACACCCAGAAAAACTGACATCTTTTCTTGACACTGAATCTCCCCAAACTGCCACACTGTTTCTTTCCATCTCCAGCTTTTTCCATCAAAGTTCTGCAGCTTGTCTCTTCCTTCAGTTCTACTTGTTTACCTAATTTTCACCCCCACATCTCACATTGATCCAATCATGAAATCAAATGCTCTGCTTTAGTCTTCATCCAGCTCGGCTCCTCTATGGCATTTGACAACAAAGACCATGTCCTCCGTTTACAATTTTCTTCTCTTCTGGATTTTTTCAACATTTCTCTCTTCTGATTCTCCCCTTCAACTGTTCTTTCCCACTTTTCTTTGGCAGGTAGTTTACTGCCTCCACCCATTCATTGCTCCTTAAGTACTGGAAAAGCCCAGATTTCTGTCCTTAGCAAGTTTTTCTTTTTTATGTATACACCTTTCTTTCTCATCCAGGCACGTGCCCTGAATTTATACCTGTTTGCAGATCACTCCCCAGTCTGTATCTCCTTTCTAGACTTTCTCTCACAACAGATCTGTTTCTACTTTCTGGATAGCCTGGAGTTGCCTCACACTCAATACAACAAAAAACTGAGCTGAGTATCTTCTCTAGTGCATTTGCCTTTTCCTGTATTTCTAATGTAATGATGTCACCTGTCACCTAGATCCCCACAGCTGTCCGTGCATGTTGTGTTTTATTCATCTTTGCATCCTCTATGTCATTCCCTGCCCCCCCCAAGTTTGCTCTTGATTTTTCTATAAAGGTTACATAGAACATGTTGAACACGCTGTTGATGATTGATAAAAATTGTCTAATCCCCGGGCGCCTGGGTGGCTCAGTTGGTTAAGTGACTGCCTTCGGCTCAGGTCATGATCCTGGAGTCCCGGGATTGAGTCCCGCATCGGGCTCCCTGCTCGGCAGGGAGTCTGCTTCTCCCTCTCCCACTCCCCGTTTGTGTTCCCTCTCTCGCTGTGTCTTGCTCTGTCAAATAAATAAATAAAATCTTTTAAAAAAAAAAAAAAGGAAGAAGACTTAAATAAAAATAGACATTTTCCAAATCGGCATGGATGTCAAGTCCTTAAAAAACTACATTGTGATTCTTGCTTGGAAAATGGTAGAGTACATTATTGACTCTCATTTTCCCCCCTTTATATCCAAACCGTTTTCCATATAACTAAGCATTCTCCCACTGAAGATATAGTGAAAGTCTCCCCCCTTTCACTTTGGGCTCTGCCATGTGATTTGCTTTCACCAACGAAGGTTAGCCGACTTGAGACATTAGGCTTGGCATGCACTTGGAGGTTGGGTTTCCCTTCTTTGCAATCACTATAGGAGTCCTATATCAAGGCTACCACCACGGGGCCCAAGAGAAGAATGAAAGACATCGCGCCCCAGCTGCCCCTGCTGCCCCACAGATCAGCAGGGAGAAGCAAAGCCACACCCCCAAACCCAGAAAAGATCAGCTTCTGGAAGTCTAGACTGTCTGCAGATGTACAAGATACGTGCTTATTGTTGAAAGCCACCAACGTTTTGTGTTATCATGTGGCAGTATTTGCCTGATACAAATACCAATATCTTTTTTTTTTTACTGGCTTTCTTCTTCCTTCTTTTGACATTGTGCATCCTCCTCTGCTCTAATCTAGACGGCATGCTCATGTAAAAAAATGACTGGCTTTGGAGTCACGGTCCTGATTTTGAACCCATCCCACTAATGCTAATAAACTGAATAAGCAACTTTGCTCCTTTCAGACTTGGTTTTTTTAATCTGTGAAGTAAGAATAAAAATACCTGTAACACCCTTTCATGTGTAAATTATGTTAAGCATCCAGCATACAATGATCAGATTATACTCAACAAATGAGTGGTAACTGACTGGAAGGGATTACAAACAGAGAGAGAACAGGTGACTCTGTTCATTCTATTCCCCGGCCCCTACCCCTCCTATCCCATTCCTTTCCCCTCAAACACGCTCTTCTTAGGCTCAGAACAGGTCTCTCATAGTGTGTTCTCTCTGACTCCAGTACTGTGATAAAGATGGTCTTTCTCATTCTCTTCCTGGCTATACCCATTCTCCAGGGACAAGTCACTGTAAAGAGTGATTTTTATGTTCAGCTTTCCGGTCGTCTTTAAGGTATGTCTCTGTATTTGTGTGTATATAATATTAGCCTGGTCTTTCATGGGGGGCATTTAATCCATTTATATTTAATGTAGTATTTATATATTTGGCTTTTTAGCTACTTGATCTATGTACCTTTTTATATTCTCTTGTTGCCTTCATTTGCATTAATCTTTTGCAAGTTCATTATTTTTACTCTATGAACTTGTCAGTTATACATTCCTTTACTGTTCTTTTAGTGGTTACTCCAGAGATCACAACATAGATCATTACTGTCTAAAAAAACATAGTACTTCACCACTTTCCCAATAATGCTAGGACCTTAGAACATTTTGACTACATCCACTCTCTCCATCTTATGCATTATTGACAAATATTTTGATACTCATAAGACATTATTTTCATATCAGTATTGATTTATATTTATCTACATGTTTACCTTTCTGTAGCTTATTATTTACTGTATTTCTATATTTCCATCTCTTAGTCAACATTGCCAGAGGTTTTAGTCATCTTTTCATAGAACCAGGTTCTTTACTTTGCTAATGTACTTTTTTGGTCATTACTTTCTTGTAGTTATCTCCTTTCTATGTTATTTTATTCTTTTACTTAAAAAATTCTCATGGGGCACCTGGGTGGCTCAGTCAGTTAAGTGTCTGCCTTCGGCTCAGGTCATGATCTCAGGATGGAGCCCCAGGATGGAGCCCCATGTTGGGCTCTCTGCTCAGCAGGGAGCCTGCTTCTCCCTCTCTCTCTGCCTGCCACTCGCCTGCTTGTTCTCTCTCTCTCCCTCTCTGTGTCAAATTTTTTTAAAGATTTTATTTATTTGACAGAGACACAGCAAGAGAGGGAACACAAACAGGGGGAGTGGGAGAGGGATCTCAGGGTCATGAGTTCAAGCCCCACATTGGGCGCAGAGTCTACTTTAAATAAACTAATTTTTGGGTGCCTGGGTGGCTCAGTTGGTTAAGCGACTGCCTTTGGCTCAGGTCATGATCCTGGAGTCCCTGGATCGAGTCCCGCATCGGGCTCCCTGCTCGGCAGGAAGTCTGCTTCTCCCTCTGACCCTCCCCTCTCTCATGTGCTCTCTCTCCCATTCTCTCTCTCTCAAATAAATAAAATAAAATAAATAAATAAATAAAAAATTTTTAAAAATAAATAATTTTTAAAAATTTAAAAAATTCTTAAGTTGATCATCTAGGTCATTAATTTTTTAGCTTTTCCTCTCTTGTAACCCTCTAAATACCATTTTCACTGCATTCTGCATGTATTGATTAACAATATTAACATTTTGTTTTAGTTCTAAGTATTAGTAAGTCTGTGTGTGATCTCTTCTTTAATACAAGAGTTATTTAATGCAAGAGTTTTTTATGTGGGCATTTTAAAGTCTCCAAACATAGTAATTTACAATTCTTGTTGTCGCAGGTTTTCAAATAAAATATATTGTGGTCAGAGAACATCATCTGTGTTATACGCACTTGCTATTTGTTGAGACTTTTCTACACTCTATAGTAGCAATTATTTTAAGTGTCTTATATCTGTTTGAGAACATATATTCTATAATTGTGAGGCATGGATTTTTACTCCCCATACTTATTAAACTGTGTTGTACAAATATGTATCCTTACTGGTTTTTCCATTTGCTCAATCTGTCAATAACCGGGGGAGGTGTATTTAAGTGGATCACCAAGGTGATGGATTTGTCAATTCTCCTATTTAATTCTACCAATTTCTGGCATATAATCTGAGGTGACTTCGTTGAGCACATACAAATTTAGACCTATTATACTTTCCTGGTGGATTAAACTTTTAATGACGTAGATGCCTTACTTCTCATCACGCTTTTTGTATAAAAAAACTTTTGTCGGGGCACCTGGCTGGCTCAGCTGGTTAAGTGGCTGCCTCCGGCCTGGGTCGTGATCTCAGGGTCCTGGGATCGAGCCCCGCATCGGGCTCCCTGCTCCACGGGAAGCCTGCTTCTCCCTCTCCCGCTCCCCCCGCTGGCGTTCCCTCTCTCACTGTCTCTCTGTCAATAAAAAAAAATTTTTTTTGTCAATATTAAAATAATTCCCTTAGTTTCTTTAGGTTAGTATACTCCTGGTAAATTCTTTTCATTCTTTTACTTTTAGTTGTTCATTGTTCTTATATTTTTGTGTGTCTTTGGTATATAACCTATTGCTCCAACAGACTTTTGAGCTCACCTTAATAATCTCTTTTATTTAACCAATATTTTGTTCGTTTTCTTCACATATTTGGGCTGTCTGAAACTTTTAGATGCTTATTTTTTGCCTTTCTTTGGACAATATGAGTTACTTCCCTACTTTTGTTTTTAAATTCTTATTTCTAATTTTCCCTCCACTATTTAGAATATTACTTACTCTATTTCTTGTAATGAGTATCCTTAATATCGCACAGTGCGTACTTAATAATTTAATGTAATAATTTATTAGTGCATACTTAGTATCCAAAGTTAACCAACATCTTATAGCTTTTGTCCTGAACAATTCATGAATGCTAACACACTCAAATTCTGAGCACCCTACCCCAATTTACATGCTATTTCTATTCTCTAGTAGTTTGTCCAAATTAGAGTCGTTGTAGAAGAGGGCCTTTCAGAATATCTCCTCAGAGTTAAAGAAGGAAGCAGAGATCTTCTTCCTTTCTTTCTGGATCCAGTTTTCTGCTTTTGTATTGATGTTTCCCGGCTCATGGTTAACTTATCACTGTTCGGGTACTTTCTTCCAACTGCTCCCCAGCTCTTAGCCTTGAACTGCTTCTTGGTAGAGCTTTTGCAGAGATTCAGTAAATGAACTGAAGGTCCAAACAGTTGCTGTAGTCCTCTTGCTGAGATAGTTCCTTGGTAAGTAGTCTCTTGGACTCTTCTAAGGGATCATAAGATGTACAACTAATGGAGGAATAACAACTAATGGAGGAACCACAGATAAATGTGTCCAGAGCAGTAGTCTTACAGGAAATCCTGGGAATTTACAGTTTCAATAATCTTTCTGTACAAATGGCCTTTTGAAGCCTTGTCATATTCTGCACGGATCATTACTAAGATTTATACTCTATTTAAATGAAGATTATTATTTTCATACACCTTTGCAGAGGATTGGGTCTTTTTGCTTGAGCTACCTATTACTTCTGCTTCTGGAAGTCTTTATATAAGTTCTGTTCTTTAGCTCCCAGTTTCCACTGAAGAGCCCCTGTCCTTACAAATAATCTAGTCTGTGCTCTTTTTAAAAAAAATCAAATTGCATTCCCTCTTCTCCCTTTTTACCTGAAACTTCCATGAACATACACATACAGTAAGAACAGGAACCTATTCATTATAGGATACCCTTACTTTTGCTGCCCTGACAAGAATTCTTTGTTTCTTCTTCTTATTATTAAGGATAATTTACAATGACTGATATCTAAGGAGAGACCAAAACTTGTCCTTGCCAGCCTCTTAGGGCTTCCCCAAGGAGGAATCAAGTTATTCCACGTAAAAGGAGATGTGTTCATCAATGTGTCTGAGAACATTGAATTCTGCCAAAGCAGATTAGTGAGTACATGGGTAGGGCACTCATTTTTTGGCTTTTAGTCTGTTCCTCTCCCACAAATCAGATTCATGGGTCAGTTGGCCAACATCACTAGAAATTTAAGGAGGCAGAAAAAAAATTTTATGTGTATTTCTCTCAGGGAAAGTTATTGCGGCTGGAAGAAGTACTTTGGTCAGCTGAGGGAGATCTCAGAGGTAAAACTAAAAAATATCTGTGTGGAAGACTACCAAATTATTCATGTACATGGCATATAATAATTCACTATTTCTCAGGACAGCTTTTGTTCTCCAAAACCATCACAGGGTCAGATTAACTCTCATCTGTGTTGATGTCCTTCCTGGGAGCTTGGTGAATCAAAATGGCTTAGGAAGGCGTGCACACTAGCTCATTTTCCTCATGCAAGGGGGCGATCTAAAGGTTGTTGCTCTGACACGTGAGGCTTGGAGTGAATGGTCTCTGCCAACTTTGCAGGACTCAGTGGGGTGTTTTCTTGTTCACCATTTTGCTGCACCGTGAAAAGAATGCATGTTCTATTAGATCTTTCTGTTGAGTTGGGCTCTGGAGAAAGCATTTTTTAGCTTGCTTTGGTTCTAGTACTTTGAGGTTAATCTACCAAATGAACTCTCCATGGGGTTCATTGGAGTTCACTAGATTCTGCTCTAGACTTTGAGGCCTAAGTTCCAGATAATAAAAATATATTCTGCCTTGAACTCTTTCCATTTATTTCTCTTGGGTAAGTGAGATGAAGAGGCTGAATATTCCTTGGTTATTCCTAAACTAAATGGCCAAGAACTCAAATATTATCATTTTAATTTCATAACTTGATTAGCTTGTGCCTTAATTTCCAACAATCTATCAATTTCCTTGAGTTGTTGATTTACAGTACTTTATAGCTTCCTCCAATTATCTTTAAAATCCTGCCTCTTTATTCTCCAAAAACTTTAATTTAGTATGGTATTCAAGAACACCAGTATTCAACTGTTTACAAAATCCTACAGGGAACCCCTTAAGGGTAACCTGTGGCCCAGCACCTGCCCGTTCAGCTGCAGTCTCTTGCTCACTGCAGGTTCTTGCATAGGCCCTTCTGCTGCAAACTTCAGTTCTGCTCATGCTCAGGTTTAGGAGACAGTATGCCCCTCCACGAACCTCAGAAAATAAAGTTATTTTACAAGCAGAGATTTAGTGTCAGCATATGAAACTTTGCTGGGGGATCGGCAATAAGAGAACTATTTGATGTTCCAACAAACTGGACGAGTCTCTCACTTTTCCTCATGTACAATTCTCTTGACAGTTTCTCACTTACTGCAGTAACCAGGTAAATCCGTGAATAAAGTCACTGTTCTGTTAGAACAAATTTGTTCTGTTACCTCCAGAATTGTATCAGCTCCCATAACTGGTATGAGCTAGGAAAAATGGGTCTCTTGAGGCTGTATTTCACCCAGCACAAATATGCTTCGACCTCAGATCTAGGGTTCAGAAATGTCTGCCCATTAGGAGTGTCTTCTGCAAACCACAGGCATAGGTCTCAGCTCAGTATGCCATCTATTCCCTTTGGCTCTGCTAAGCACGACCGGCCTCATGGAAAACTACTTTGTACTCTCTGATGTCTTTGTATGTATGATGTTCAGAACTATCTGGAACCTGAAGCCTTGGGAAGTAAAATGGAAAGTTCCAGAAACCAGGGAACATGGCTGCCGGTGTTACATTTATTTATTCCATATGTGTTTATCTCCAGGACAACGACTGACTGATATCAAAGCCAAACTGGTCAACTGGAGTATCAATACTGACCAAAATGAGAATTGCCTTGTTGAGCTGGTAGGGCTGAGGCCTTGTTATCCCACCCATTTTCTCTGTACACACTGGCACATAATGGACTGAGAAACAGCTGAAGAAACCATGCACAGAAGACAATCTCCCTTCTCATGCTTTAATCCCATACCCTGTGCTCCACTTATGGAGGACGCTCATCCAGTCCTTGCCACTCCCACAAGCAGAGCAGGTGAGGTTCATAATTATTCAACCTCATCTCCAAGGAACCTTTATCAGGCAACAGAGATCCTACTATCAGGCCATGAGATAATACTATTTAGTTCTTAATTACATAAAAATGAGATCACATAAGAAAAAGCAAACAACGCAATTACATGAAAGCCATTTACTCCTGGTAAATTCTTCAGGGTCCCAGGTGCTGGGGTTCATAATTTTCCCTGATATCAGAGAACCAAGGCGGGGATGACAGGGGCTGGGTGTCAGTGTAGTCTTGATGGCCTTAGCCAGCAGCAACAGCTTTTAAAAATTATGCTCCATAATTTGGTCTCAGGTCTTCTCGTGTTCTTCATATAAAGGAAGTGACCCAGTCAATCATGACTCTGAAATTACTATAGTACCTATGTAAGCTGACATGGTTCCAAAATCCCCTCACAAACCCATGTGAAAAGGGCAGGAGGGGTGGGCTTGTACACGTGTGGGAATGTAAATGATTTCATCATGGTTTAATTATGCTTTAACTGACTCCCCCAGCACCCAATTGTTGCGTCTCACTTTTGCAGAAGTGCTAGGGGCAAAACCAAGAGGCTGGTAGAACACTAAGAAGGGTGGGCATGAGTATTCTAACAGGAAAGCACCCCACAAGGAAAGAGGCTTCTGACTAGGTCCTCCTTTCTAGCAGGGTCTGGCACCTGGTATTTTGGCAACGGATAAGGGAGCAGCCTGACAAGGTCCATGGGAAACAGCCTCGAGGTTTTCCCCCATCAGACACTTCTCCCATCTCTCCCCAGGATCAAAGGAAAGTGCATGGTGAAGAAATGAACCAGTGAGAGATCTGTAGTTATCCCGTGAGTGTGTGGCAGAGCCATGAGGATGCAAATCTCCGGCCTTGAGTTCAGGGCTGTGTGCTTTAAGATTTGAGCCCAGTAAAGACAGAATCCTAGAGGCCGGTCCCTTACCATACCTAAAGGGCTGTCCTGGGCAACTTTATACTTGAGGCTGTGAAGCAGTCTTTAGGATATGCGACAGCCTATTTTGGGCAAAATAGAATAACCACAACCTTGGAAGTCTTCTAAATCTCCTCCTTCACACCCATGAGGTAGAGGCAGGAACACTCCGGTCAAGGAGAAGCCTCCACCCAGGTTGTACTTTGGGCAAAAAAATCTCCTCCAGGTGTAGAAGAAGGTTGAGAGGTTCTGCCAGGGGGATTTTATTTAGCTGTGGGAAGAGGTGATGTAGATCTGGGCAAGTGAGGGAGACTCCCTGGAAAAGGTCTTCCCGAGCTGACAAGGGGCATCTCCTCGCCCATCCCCGGGTGAGGGCTGAATGCAGACCGCCTCACACAGGAAGCTAGCTAGGAGGTCTTTTCTGAGTGGGTCCTCTGATGCCTGATTAAGTGATAGCCCCTACTGAAGCTTTTTCCACAGGTAGGGCAGGTGAACGGTTTCTCGCCAGTGTGGGTTCTCTGATGCCTGACAAGGTGGTCCCTCCGACTGAAGCTTTTCCCACATTCGTTGCACCGGCAGGGCCTCACTGAGGCGTGTCCTCGCAGGTGCTTGGCAAATGCTGCGCTGTGGCTGAAGCACCGCCCGCACTCACTACAGAGATACAGCTCCTCAGTGGCGTGCGTCTTCCGGTGTGCCAGATACCGCCTGTGGTCGCTGAAGTCCTCCCCACACTCTCCACACAGGTAGGGTTTGCCTCCAAGGTGGATTCTTTGGTGTGTTGTGAGCACAGACTTCTGGCTGAAGCTTTTGCCACAAATAGTACAGAAGAAGGGTTTTTCTCCTGTGTGTGTCCTCTGATGCCGGACAAGGTCTGAGGTCCAGCGGAAGTGTTTTCCACAATCGTCACATCTATATGGTTTCTCAACAGGTGGAGTTCTCTCAGCCTGGACCAGAGAGGAGGTCTCATCCAAATTCTTCCGGTTTAGGGGAAATTTATAAGGAGTGCCCATTTTGTGAATCTTCTGGTGCCTGGCAAGATGCGAGCTGCGCGTGTAACTTTTTCCACACTCCATACATTTATAGGGTTTCTCTCCTGTGTGAGTTCTTAGGTGTCTAACAAGGTGGGAGTTACAAGTGAAACTTTTCCCACATACAGGACAGTCATGGTGTCTCCCTAACAAGGGGTGGACAGGCATGGTTTCCCGAAGATTCGATAAACTATTAACTTGAGAAATATTTGTACCAAATCTTCTTTCGTTAAGTCTATTTGGATCATCCTCAAAGACTATTTCCCAGTCTGGAGTCTGGTGGATTTCTGGATCTCCCAAAATAGATCTGTGTAGATCTTCCAAACTTAGATCTTCCGGCTCAAGATACTCTTCTTCATCTTCACTCCTATCTCCTGTAGAGAGGGTGAGAGGAGAACAGGGGAAATTATAGAGGGGATGATGCCTTCCACACAACGGCGGGATTTTTAAACTGTCTTGGGAAGGCAAGACCACACAGAGAGAAGCCCGTATTTCATAACTGCAGAGGCTGGGAAAGAAGGAAATAACTGGTCAACTGATTTCTGTCATGTGCCAGGCACTTTCTTATATGTTATCTCATGCTGTCGACAAGCCTTGGTGTGGACAAAGATTATTATCCTCATTTCACAAATGTGGACACTGAGGACCAAGAGTTTAAGTGACCTGCTTCATATAGGACTACAGCTGCATTCCAAAGTTCCCATTTTTTCTCTTTCACCATCTTACATTACATATCCCTCACACGAATGATGGGAGGGGAAAGAGGAGGATGAGGACAGAAGAATTTGGCATTCAGAGGGAGACAGGGGTGATGGCCAACAGGTTAGAAGAACCAATGAGAGGGGCACCCCAGAGGGAGAGGGGAAGTGCCAGCTCTGTGGGGGAAGATGCCTTTTGTTGTTCCTCACCTGTGTAGGTAAAACTCAGGATTTCTGGCTCTTGAGGCTCTTGAGGCTCTGGGATATCTGGGACCAAAGGCTCTTCCTCTCTAACGTGGGAGATCTCATCTAGTCTGGGGATTGGAAATGCTGCTCAAGAGAGGGAAAGCGGGACATTACGATTGGTTCAGCAATTCCCTGTGTTAAGAGCAGATCTTTGCTGTTGGGTAGACTGCAGAACAAATGGACAGCCCAGTCAGTGGATCCAATCTGGTCTTTTTAGCTTGAGCACCTCTCACCAAATCCTGCATATTTCATGCCCTTTGTCTGCGACTTGATAATCTAGGACCACTAATGCTCCCTCTTTCCCCATATTCAAGTAAGCAGATCAACCTCTACTGCTGGTTTCAAAACTCACACACTACCTCAAATATACTAAAGCTATATATTATAATTTTATTCTCTTATTAGAAGCTTCCAACCACTTTCTAAGCATTTCCTCTTCCCTTTAACTTGGAAGGATATCGTCTTGCTTATAGCTCATCCTTCAATCTCACTGGGGGGGCAGGCGTAAGAGAAGCATGGTGCATACAGTCTAAGATCTAAGACCCCCACAATTTCCAACAGGAGAAAGACCTCTGTGCTCAGAACACCCTAGAAACACTTGAAATTCCTTACACAAAGAGACCACAATTCCACAGTCTTCTTCCAAGACATATTCTCCATAGAACTCTTTCTGTGCGGGATCCAGATCGCTCCACTGGTCCTGGGAGAAGCACACAGCCACGTCCTTGAAAGTTACCAATCCCTGAAACAACACAGGCTTCAGTTAAAAAGGGGCGGTTCCTGGAGCTGCCCACTTAGTTCCCGGAATGAAGGTTACGCCCGGAGACAAAAGGAACACACACAGGACTCCGGGCTCCCTTCGGGAAATCTGTGGCACCCTTGGCTGCTGCTCCCCGACTTCCTACTTCCTCCTCTGGGCCCCCCGGTCCCACTGCTTTCTCTCAGGGCAAGCCTCTGCTCTTCTTCTTGAGCATATGGGTTAACATACAAGAAAAGTCTTAAAAGTTCTAATTAACTCCCTATTTGATGCCTTAATGCCACCTACATTTCTGCAAAAATTCACCTTTTCTGGAAAGCTCTCCCTAACTGACCTTCTCCAGGGACCCCCATCATCTACACGGTCGGCAGAGCACACACAGGCCCTTTTGCTGCAGCTAGACTACAATCTGAAACCACGGATGCTTCTTTTCCTTTTCTCTCCAGCCTCTAGCTTAGTTTTCGGGCCCTGACTATTTTAAGGGATTCCTATGAGTCGTGGCCTGACTGAGTGCAGTCCTTGCAAGAGGACACCACACAATTTCAGAAATCATTTCTGCAGCAGTCAGCCATTCTTACAAATGACTATCAAGTTTACTCCTAAAAAAAACCAAGAAACAAGCCTTCATTCAGCAACTTCCAGGTTGTACTGGAGAGTTCTAAAATAATCCTATTTTGTTAGTTCCTCTCTCTGGGCAGTGGCAAATAAAGAGGCTCTGGAGCCTGCAGATCCAACTGAGACTGTGATAATTCATCCCATTCGATTCAACTCCTGCTGCAGACACGTCTAGAACTGAGAACTTAAGTTGGCGAAAGAAGGGTGCAAATTTGTGTCCTGTCTGACCCGTTCAGTATACAGCTAATGCCTGATGGTTCTTCAAATTCTCTGAGGCACAGAGGGAAACTAGAGCACACCTGTGAAAGAGCAGTAAGAAGGGCAACCATCTCTGGGTTTCCAGTGTTCCTCTCTTCAGGAAGGTCTGGGTCCTGGGACACTGGAACCTCTACGATGAAAAGAATGCGGAGATCAGCAATATGCAGTGTGCCCATGTAAGTGGCCAACAGCCGAGTGGCTCTCATGCTCTTTGGTAGGAATCAGGAAACTGGCCCAAGGGCAGCTCAAATCATCCCAATGCCACCATCTGGAACACTACTGAAATGCCAAGAGAACAACCAAGGATAAAGCTCGGCCCAGTTTCTGGGGGACTCTAGCTAGTACTGTCTCCTCTCAACATCCTGGATTCTGTGATTTATTCCCACTGTGCTCCACACCTAGCCTCCTTAGTAGAGGGGAAATATCCCCCTTCCCACGCTCTGCCCGTCACAATGCCCCGCTTCTGCTGAGACTTCCCACCGCTCTCCTGCAGGGGCTGGAACTCCAATTCATGGCACAGGCTCTGCTCTTCTGGTGGCCCCAGATCAGGGCTCTGTATGGTCTCCTCACAGGACGCCTCGGGAGTCGAGGTCTGCACAGGGTTCTGCAGCTCACTAGGTGACTCGGGCTCTGCTTCTGGATGCACCGTCTCCTCTGACAGGACTTCCTGGCCATGAACATGGACAGTCACCTGGGAATAATTCCAATTTCCAGTCAGCATGGAGTCAAGAGGAAAGTCTCGGTTGACATCAGGGCTTATTTTTGGAGAACCTGCCAACAGAAACACTCCCAAAGAGTCCCAGATGAGGAGGGGAATCTCTGGTTCCATTGGGGCACGCAAGAGTTGTTGCAGGTTATCCTCACCAGGACAAGGCAGGGACGTTTGGGTACTGCACAGCTTCCTTACTCCCCTCAACCCTGCCCCTGTCCCCCAGGGCTCTAAGACACCCATCCTTCCCATCTCTACCTCTCCCACCTGTAGCTCTCTCCTTGTTTTTGCTTTCCTGTCTTATGGTCCTGGGGGAGGGGGAGTGACTGAGAGTCTAGAACTTTTGAGGAAGTCACAAAATTGGCCTCCCCAGGAACTGGAGGTTCGACAGCCAAAGAAAGGAAAACCAAAACCATATGACCCTTGAGTGCTGAGATCCCTAAGATGGTCCCCAGGCAGGTGTTTCAAAAACCAGAAAGTCACACTCACTCACTCACACAAACACACGCAAACACACACCTCTGCCCCTTATGGATCTAGGTGCAACCTGAAAGCACAGCCAATTAGTTTTAAAGGGTAAATGATGGGGGCCCTGTATGCCCTACCCCCAAATCCATCCTTCCAGCAAACAAATAGTCCCCCTCCACATCACATAGATCAGGACTCCCCCTCCTCACCCACCGCCTTGGTCTCCTGGGTTGTTTCTGCAAACCCTCCACCAGCGTCACCGCCTCCTCGCCACTCTCTGGCCGTTGGCCCCGCACCCAGCTCTGCAGTTCTCCAGGCAGGACAGTAAGGAACTGTTCCAGCACAAGCAACTCTAGGATCTGCTCCTTTGTCCGCCTTTCTGGCCTCAGCCACTGATGACAAAGTTCTCGCAGTCGAATGAGAGCTTCTCGAGGGCTTGCAGCTTCCTGGTAGCGAAAGCGCCGAAAGTTCTGGTGTGAGGTCTCGAGCACAGGGTCATCTCTCTGTAAGACAGACTCTGGCCTACAGGTGAAATCATCTTCCAATTTCACCATGAGAATTCCCTCTTCTTCCCAAAGATCCTGGTCCTCTGGTTCCAAGGCTGTAGCCATTGTTTGGCTCTCGGGGGGGGAGGGGTCTCACACCATCTAGAGCTCACACTGTCATTTGCCCCCAGTCTCAGCCTGGGCACCTCAAGGAGTTTCTCCCAAGGGACCTGGGGCAGAGAAGTAGAGACAAACATCAGTATAAGCGTGAGATTATACACAGGGAAAATAGTTCTGAGTTCACTCATAACCCCGCACACATAACACTTCCTTACACTATTAAATCCCCTGCCCTCAATCTCCACAACCATCAGCTATAAATAGATTTGGCTGAAATCGGATGATCTATGCCTCAAGTTATGTTCTCTTACCCCTTGTCCTTGGCCAGGTTCACACCCCATAGAGAAACAGAAAAAAACTGCATCTCTTCTTCAAGAACCCTGTAAACCTGCAAGGAGAATGGAGAGGACCACGGACGCTGCTCATGGCCTGCTAGGATACGTGGTACTGACCATGTCACACACACGTTTACATACACACCAGGAGAAGAGACGCATCCGCCAGGCTGAAACAGATGGGGAAGCCTTTATAAAGGCTCATTCAAACTGAATTACACTCAATATAAATTCCTCTGTAAAATGGGGACTCTCAGAGATTTGAGGGGCAAGTTGTGTGAGGTAACAGTCAGGAAAGCCCCTTATACAGCAGCAGGCGCACAGGCACCCCTAAGAGCAACCTTCCGCTTATTAAGATATCTTAATGGGAAGACCTCCAGACCCTCAAACCCAAGTGTTCAAAACTGAACTCATTCTGCTGACTCCCAAATCCACCCCTCTTCCCAAGATCCTGTCTTGGCTGAGATCATCACTAGCTAAGTAAACACTCAACTTTGTAATCTTTAGACTCAATTTTGATTCTTTCCCATTGCTTACAGCCCATTAAACCAATTCTACCTTGTAAGCCTCTAAATCTGTTTCCTCCTCTTTGCCACAGACCGCTTTAGTTTGGGCCTTCAGCTCTTGCCTGGACTATTGACCTAACTTCCTAACTGGGATCCCTGCATACTCGACCATGAGTAAAGGGCAGCATAATTATGGTGAAGCTTTTGCAAAATAAGTATCGCTCAACACTCTTGGGGATACTTGGGATTTAGTCAACGTAGGCAACTGTATCTTTAGAAATGCTGCATGTGGTCCTGATGTGTGTGATGGTGGAGGACAACTAGGGCGTGTAAGGTAAGGAGTTGAGTCTGGTGTCAGGGGTTAAATTTGGGCTGTACCGTGTAGTAGGTGTGAGGCCAGAGTTAAGTTCCTATGCTCCCTCTGCCTGTTTCCCCATCTGTGGCATGGAGGTAAGGATGGTATCCATCTAACAGCGTGACTATGAGGATTAAACATATCACCCTCTGTCAAGTGCTCAGAAGAGTAATGGCAACCCAATGTTAACCATCTTTCTAAATTACAGTCCCAACTGCACCGCTCAACATTTAAAAATACTTGTTAGTAAGATCAGCTATAACATCCTTGGCATGGCACATGAAGCTCTTCACCATCAGCCCTCAGTTGATTTTTCAAGCCTCATATCCTCCCCTTTGCTGTGTTATCGTGGAGCTATCATGGGTGCATTGCTGATCTTCCAATCGAAAGGGGATGTCTTTTCAGGACACCATGCCTGTAGGAAGGCTGTTCCTTCTAAACGCAATGTTCCCACCCCCCACCTCCAATGCTGCATGGTGTGTTCCATTTCTTCACATGGCCCCCTCTTCTTCACTCCTATGATTTACACTCTTAGCTCCTTATCAGTTCTTGTCTGGATTACTCCCAACTGCCTCCAATCCTGAGCCACCTGCCTCCAGGTTTGTTACCTTCAAGTTACCAAGGACAGTATCATAAGAGTGACCGGCACTCTTGGCAAATGTGATCATGTCCCTTCCCTATTTAAGATCCTCAACCATTCCTGTCTTGTAAGTGAAAAGCAAACTCCTAAGTATTATAGATTAGGCAGACTTTCCTTTCGCCCTCCTCTTCAATCCTTCCCAACACACGCAGCGCACACACACACACATTCTGTATGCCTGTGAAGCACCTACAAATCCCATCTCTTTGGCTTTAGAACATGTTGTTCCTTCTGAGTCTTTACCCTTCATTAGGTGAAACTTTACTTCTAAGACAGCTCAGACTTCATGCTTTCTGAGATGTTTTCTTTGATCCCATTCCCCTTACCCTTAAAATGGTGAGAAATCACTGTGCTTCTGCAGCAACATGGGCACACCTCTATCACCACGTCTGTGGTATCGATCCTGGGATACCGCAATACAGCCACTGGTTAAGCTTCCTATGAAACTCCTTCAAGTTTCCAACATGCGTAATAAAGTGCACAGTAAGGGAATTTAAATGAATAAACTAAAGTTTTCTTCCTCTTTTTTATCAGGAAGAATCCATCTTTCCCTCCATTGTTTCTACACTATTTATTCACTGATCTTGTTAATCCTTCCTTCTAAATGTCTTTCCAATTCATCCATCTCATCTCCACTTCCATTCCCCTGGTTGAGCCAGTAGGACCTTTTAAAAACATGACCGTCTCCTACACCACACTGGTATGTAACGGACACTTGTATGTTGAATGAACGACTTTGTTCAAGTCACCCCTAGTCTTCCCAGTCCTGCCCCCTCCAGACCCCTCTCCACATGCAACCTGAAGGGTTCTTCATTTTTCAGTCTTTTGAGGCTTCATTACCTCAGCCTCAGATCCACCTTCAAGGTTAACGATCCGCTCTTAAGAGCTGGGTCTAATTAGATGCTGCCCATCAAATTGAGTTTAATTTCAATGACCCTATTATTTATTTTTATTAACTATCTCAAATGCCTTTTCATTCATTCATGCTCTTATTTCTCTTCCAGTAGCCTCAAATATCCACTACCTACTTTCATAGTCTGCTTTACAGAGTTCCCTCATTTCTCAGTCTTTGTGGTAATTGTCCCACCTACTGAATCTGCAGTCTCTACCCCATGGTGGTCTGTTTTCTACACAGTTTGTGGTTTTTAAAATGTTATGCCTATCTTCAGTGAGATTGTTTTCTTTGGGAGTTCTGGGAGAAGACAGAATCGATAGAGAGTCTTTGGCATAATGAAGGGATCTCAATCATCTTCAAAGTCTGAGAACCATGCCCAGGAAAGCAGACTAGAAGCTCTCCTTGTTTCCACGGAGCACTGGCTACCAAAGATTGTCTACTACGGAGTCTACAAAGTCTGCATTGACAGAAGCATTCCTGCTCTCGCTCTCCAAAGACAAAAAGGAACAGTTTTACCCTAATGCTGGCCCACATAAAACCTGCTGTTTCTAAATCCGCTTCAGAAATCAATTGAGGGGCACCTGGGTAGCTCAGTCATTAAGTGTCTGCCTTCAGCTCTGGTCATGATCCCAGGGTCCTGGGATCGAGCCCCGCATCAGGCTCCCCGCTCTGCAGGAAGCTTGTTTCTCCCTCTCCTGCTCCCCCTGCTTGTGTTCCCTCTCTGGCTGTCTCTCTGTCAAATAAATAAAAATCTTTAAAAAAAAAAAAAGAAAAATCATCAACTGAGGTTTCCATTGCTTGTTTTGGATTTACTTTGGCAGCTCAGGAAGAGATGAAGGCAAACAGATCAGCAATGGCATGATGAAGGGCAGAAGAGGAGTCCCTGGTGGGGCAAGGGATGGTAAGGAACCGGAGGCAGGCGGTGCAGTGGAAAGAACACTGGATTAGGTATCCAAAGACGTGCGTCCTAGCCCCACACCCTCAAGTAACTGGAGCAGCTCTAAGGGTTCCATGACATAACACACACAAGAGCCCTTGTAAAGGGGAAAGCCCTCTGCAGAGAACTACTCTCCTAACTCACAGGATTAGCTGAGCTCTGTGAGCTTATGAACTAAAATGTGCTGTGCAAATGTCAAGTATTAGAAACAGAAAACGGACGTTGTTTCATTCTAGGTTCCTGGGATATGCTACACCACAAGTCTGCCTGCAATTTGTTGCCCTTGGCATTCTAATACCTTCCCTCAGTGTCTGTCCTTGGAAGGGTTCCACAATGACAGATAAAACTGAAGAGGACTATATAGAGAGACTGAACCCAGGCCAGGAAGAGCAAGACTTGGTTCCAGAAGGCTCTGAAACAATGTCTGCAGAAAAGCTTCAGAAGCCTAGGGATGGGTGCACTCCATGACCTAGTCTCTGAGTAAGTGTTTCTAGGATGTATGGAGCAGGACTGGAGAGATGTGGAAAAGGTAAGAGCTTTCTCCGGTCTTTGGTCCAACTACCTCTGACCCTTATCTGAATGTGTCACATGCCAGTGAAGGCTGTAACTGCATTCTATTGACAAAAACAGAAAACTGCAGGCATAAAAAGGATATATGGTTCTCTACCTTAAAATATGACTACTTGGGGAGAGCTTTCTGGATCCTAAATGACAAGGTTTGTGGTCATATAGTATCTACCCAGTAGAGAGAGACTGATCTGTTTACTGGCAAATAATCTTCAGTAGTGATCAGAGAGGTTCAAATGATTATGTTTAGCAGATACTTATTTCCCTTCCTGCCCCCAATTTTATTTTTTACCTTAATGCTGGCCCATAACCTGGAAATCTGGGTATGTCTGTTCTCTGGGGTTAACCAAACCTTCCAACTGCTCTTCTCATTGTTCTAGAATAGAAATCAACTAATAAAAATTGTTAACTGCCCTGTTCTAATGCTGTATTCTTCTTTTTTAGAGAGGGAGAGGGAAGAGAGAAAGGATGGGAAGGGGTAGAGGAGGAGGGAAAGAGGGACTCTCAAGCAGGCTCCACACTCAGCATGGAGCCCAACAGAGGGCTTGATCTCACGATTCTGAGACAAAATCAGTCTGTTACCCAGATGTCCCGTTGTATTCTTCTTTAGAACTAAAGATTATCTGGTATGATCCTTCTACTGGAAAGATGATCTTTTATGGTTAATTATCCTGTATACAAGTGTTTATCCATGCTTTCCACATAATGGTTCAGGGCTTTGGAGCCCTGAGTTTGAATCCCTCTCCTCATTTACTGGCACGGGACACTCCCTGTCTTGGTCTCATTTTCAAAATGTGGCTACACTACCTCCCTCCCATGGTTGTTTTAAGGAGTAAATGAAGTAACGTATAGAATCACTGCAGCACAGAGCCCAGTACAGAGTAGATGCTCAATAGATTTTGTTCTCTTTCCTTCAAAGTGCTTTAAATCCTTTTGGGAAGAAGGCAAGATTTAAATGATAAACAGGCAAACAGTCCTTTATTTCATTCATCGTCATTCCAAAAAATTTTAAATGCACAGGAAAAATCTTGGCCTGCTTACTGTTATATTAAGAGTAAAGTGTTAAACTGAAAGAAGAGTCCTTGCTTTGAAAGACTTATCAGCTAAGATTAAGAGCCTTGGAACACAGATGGGATGGAACCTTCCAGCCAAGTTCTCCTGCCCAAGACCTATCAGTGGTGCTTCTCCTTACCAGTGTTGCAGTCCTGTCTCCTCCTCGAACTGGGAAGAGGCAATCTGGGGCAAGCCCGGTTAGTATACCTACTAAGGCCCTTGAAAACTTAACCCAGAAGGCTGGAGAAATGAAAGGGAAGGCATTCGCTGACTTCTGGCCTTCTAACAAATCATAATTAGTATACTTCAAACCATGTTTAAAAACTTTTTTTTTTAAAAAATATTTTATTTATTTATCCATGAGAGACGGAGACAGAGAGAGAGAGAGAGAGCAGCAGAGGGAGAAGCAGGCCCCCAAGGAGCAGGGAGCCCGATGCGGCACTCGATCCCAGGACCCCGGGACCATGACCTGAGCCGAAGGCAGACGCTTAACCATCTGAGCCACCTAGGCGCCCCTAAAAACTTTTTTTTTTTTAAGACTTTATTTATTTATATGACAGGGAGAGAGAGACAGCGAGAACAGGAACACAAGCAGGGGGAGTGGGAGAGGGAGAAGCAGGCTTCCTGCGGAGCAGGGAGCCCGATGTGGGGCTCGATCCCAGGACCCTGGGATCACGACCCAAGCTGAAGGCAGACGCTTAACGACTGAGCCACCCAGGTGCCCTAAAAACTATTTCTTTAAAATATTTTTGTCGGGGCGCCTAGGTGGCTCAGGTGGTTAAGCATCTGCCTTTGGCTCAGGTCATGATCCCGGGGTCCTGGGATCAAGCCCCGCATCGGGCTCCCTGCTCAGCGGGGAGCCTGCTTCTCTCTCTCCCTCTGTCTGCTGTTCCCCCTGCTTGTGTGCTCTCACTCTGTCAAATAAATAAACAAAATCTCTAAAAAATTTTTTTTTGCCATTTACATCTTTCCTTCATTAGATTCAGCATAAAATATCTGAGTAGCAAGGGGAGAAGTGGCTCAAAGCTTATTACAATAGGATTCAAAGAAACAGGGTAAGTCGGAGTGAGGGGGAAGACAGGAAGAAATAAACCCAGAGGCTAAATAAGTAGTGGCGGTGGGTGGTACAGGGAAATCAGGGGAAAGCCAAGACACGAATATCTTTTGCCCTGAAATTCTGCAGACTCTGTGGTTAGGATCAAGGTATAAAGTGGGTATAAAAATGTCATTGGGAGTAAATGTAAGCACAAATAATGTGAAATAAACTATAAAAACCGTTAACAATTCACTTTATTATTATTTTTTAAAGGTTTTATTTATTTGACAGAGAGAAAGACAGCCAGAGAGGGAACACAAGCAGGGGGAGTGGGAGAGGGAGAAGCAGGCTTCCCGCTGAGCAGGGAGCCTGATGCGGGGCTCGATCCCAGGACCCTGGGATCATGACCTGAGCCGAAGGCAGACGCTTAACGACTGAGCCACCCAAGCACCCCACAATTCACTGTATTTTTAATTAGTGTTTTTCTAGGTGTGTATCACAGGCCCAGGAGGCAGTGCTGGATGTTGGTAGTTCTGCCTTTGGAAGTAGGTGATCTGTGTTCTACCTTCTCAAGATGTGTCATCTGGGAACTGGGAATGACTTTCCACCTAAAGGCAGAGAGCTGGATCATCTTTTGAGAAACCATCTTGCTTTTTGATGGTGATAGAGGGGCTTCGAGAGGAACAAGGATACAGTGCTTCTTTATTGAATACCTAGGCCATGATGTATTAGCCTAAGATGGTGACAGGCATTTACTCAAGACTTCAGATGGGCTAGAGGCCACAGACAGATTTTCAAGTCCAGAATTGAGTATCTGGCCATCCTGATGATATTGGTTAACGTTCAACATGAAGCTAGGCTTTTAAACCTTAAGGGTGACCTAGAGGTGGTCAATGGCTTAAATAAAGCAGGTCAATCTATACCCCTCAGTTTAAAACAGAACATCACAAATGAATCTGAAGTGGGAAAAGGACACCCTTCAAACCTGACACCCACCCTGATGACAGTGGCAGCTTTCATGTGGCAGGCAGAGTTAAACTAGCTGTACCTAATTCATTACTACGATGAACATGGTCAATGCCAATCACATGGACAGTCAGAGGAACCATTATTTAGCGAAAAACAACAGGATAATATATTTTATAACTAGAGACTGACCTGAGGAGTAAACAGGGATAATTCAGAACAGTCAATTCAAGAGTCATGTATTAATGGTTTGTTTTATAACTGATATTGCCAAAATACTCTTTGCTTTGTGTCTAGATGACTTCCTTCTGGCATTGCCCGAGGCTCCCTCGCTTATGATGAGATGATAAAAGATGGGACCCATGCCTATGGGACCAGAGGAATCAGAGGAGCAGCAGTCTCCACTGCAGATTAAATCATGGTACAAAGAGGGCTGCCTGGGGGGCTCAGTCATTAAGCGCCTGCCTTCGGCTCAGGTCACGATCCTGGAGTCCTGGGATTGAGCCCTGCGTCGGGCTCCCTGCTCCGCGGGAAGCCTGCTTCTCCCTCTCCCATTCCCCCTGCTTGTGTTCCTTCTCTGTCAAATAAATAAAATCTTAAAAAAAAAAAAAAAAATCACGGTACAAAGAGTAGAAGGCATCCCAGGATGGCAAGGACCTCTTTATTCATTTTTATATTCTAAGTGCCTAACACTTTGTCAGATGCTTGGTAGAAAAGACGCTCAGTAAAACGTGTTGAATTTTATTAAGCTATTTCTCTTACTCCCAGTTGGATACGGATGCACTAAAATTCAGAATCAGTGGGTGCCACGGCTTTGGTAATGAATCTCTCATGGGGACAGTTATAGGAATTTGGCATCGGCATTTATCCCAATCGCCTGGGGCAATCCGGTGGCACAGCCATATACTGCTTTACAATGTGACACAGGACTAGTGGAGAAAAACTTCCTCAAATGGAAAAGAGAGCAGGGGATATGATTATTCATTCTACAAATATCTACTGAGCATCAATTGTGTGTGCCACACAAACCAAGGTCCAGGCGGAGAAAGATGAAAAAAGCACTAGTTCTGACCTTAAAGAATTTAATAAGCAGTTAAGTAGCAGGAACTTTAGCATATACTAGCAATCTGTAGCAAAAACCTAAATATGGATATAAGCTATATGGTCAAAACAGAAGCTCCTATCAAGAGAATTAAGAAAATCAAGGGGAAAATTCATCAATATTTCATCTTCCATTTGGCGTAAGATCACTACAATTTGGAGGTCTGTTTTTTTTTTTAAGTACGCTTTCTTAATTTTAAAAACGAAAGAACTCAGACCGAAGTGGTTAAATTATCCATACAAGATCATATTACTAGTTTCTAACACAGAAGTACACACACAGGTCTTTTGATCCCCCAACCACTGCACTGTTTATGTGAAGGAGACTGGCCAAAGGCAGTGGTTCTCAGGGTGAGAAACCCAAACCAGCAGCGCAAGCATCTAAAAACTTGTCAGAAATGTGCAGATTTTCAAGCCCGGGGCCCAGACCTATTATCAGAAACTCTGGGGGTGGACCCAGCAATCTCTTCCACAAGCCCTCCCTTCAGGTGCTTGAGAAGCATGATAAGTTTGAGAGCCAGTACCTAAGGCAAAGAAAGTAAACTTGAGGTTCAAGCAGAAAGCATACAACTTTTCCAGTGCTGGCCAAATTTACAGGAAGGTTTGCAAAAGTCAAAAGAGTCTAGGACTGTTTTATGCCTGTGCAAATTAACTGGAAAAAAAAGTAAACCTGTAACTTACCTCATCTGTATAGTTTGTAATGCCCAAGAGTCCCTCACATCGTAGTAAACCTTGCTGTGCCCTTGAAATGACTGTCTACTGCAATATAGTATTTAAAAGAGTGCAAAAGGGGTACAGCTGGAGGAAAAAGGGGGAAAGATTATGAATCCCAGGTATTTGGTCCTAAGAGGAAAAATCCCCTTCCTCCCACCAACCCTGCCCACCCTCTTATACTAGACTCTATCAGCAGAAAGTTACCCAAGACGAATGGCCACAAACCCTAACTGCTTGGTTGTCACATACTTCCCACCAACATGCCTCCCAATGGCTTCCTCACAACCTTTCTGAAGCGGCTTTCTGGATCAAGGCCCAGGGGGGTGACTTGGAAGAGAAGCTGGGAGAAGGGAAGGGGGACTCCACTAGCTTTCTGTGGCTCCTGAGTCAGGCTGCCCTGGGAGTCACCTGCAGTGTGTGGACAGGGAAAAAGCAACGGTTCTCACCCTAACCTCCGAGTGAGAGCCTGAATGTGACAGTGCTCTCCAGGACCAAGGTGGTCAAAGAACAGCTAGGCCTAGGAGCCCACCTTTGGGGTGGTCAGTACAGGGACCAAGGCAGACAGGGAAATCAAAGCGCCTGGGAGACAAGAATCTCCAATGCCAGAAAAATAAAAATTGGGCTGACCCCTGAGAGAACACAGAATATCCATGGCATACAAACTAACAAACTTTTGGTCAAACCAGACAAGCAGCAGAGGCCTGTACACTCCTGCTGTGGGTAACGGTGGTGTTCAGAAGTGCCAAAACTGGCTGTGAGGGGTTGGAGGGGGGAAGGAAGTTGCAGGGGGAGACAGAAGTACTAGCTTGAAGGGAAGCGTGGGGTCGGTCAGTGGCAGCTGAAAAGCCACAGGCCAGACGGTATCCGAGGGTGATAAGATCACGGGTGACTGTATCTGAATGTGGGGGGGGGGGGTTGGTGGTGGAGAGAGATGGGGCTTGTCGGGGCCGGGAGCCTGCGGAGGATGGGGTGGAGCGGGGGGTGGCTCTTGAACAATCTGAAAGACCGGGTGAGAAAAAGCTAGGGGAAATAAAGGGGCCTAGACCACTCCTCCCTCGGTGCCGGGGGGCCACTTGGCGCGGAAGCAATGGGAGGTACGAACTAACTGCGTTTCTACAGGCCTCAGGAGGGGGCGGAGGGCGGTGGCTGCACCGAAAGGAGCCCGGAGCGCCATCTGCGTCCCCAGAGGTTCGAGCTCCGGCCACCAGGAGCCCCGGGGACCACAACGCCCAGACCCCCTCACTACACCGCCGCCGCCCCTTCTTCCAGGACAGTGAGATTTCCCCACGATCTGGGGGGGCGGGGTCTCAGACCTCTCCCCCTCTTCCCCGCCCTGCCCGGCTCAACGCGATCCGGCCCGGCCCGGCCCCGACCCAGCCCCTCAGCACTCACGGCTCCGGCAGCTCCGGCAGCTCCTCCCCTGCCCCGGCTTCTCCCCCACCCACTCCCGGCCGTAGCAGCGCCGCCGGATCCGAGCCGCGCGGGGCCTGGCGGGTCGAAACACGTGGGGCCTTTGCGCCCGGAACCGGAAGCTGGGCTTCGCCCCGCCTCCTCGCGGCGCTGGAGCCGCTCTAGGCAGCGGGAGGTTTGGTCTCTGTGCGCTCCGCGCGGGTGGAGGCTCTGATCGCCGCGGGGACCCCGCGCGGAAAGCCTCAGGCCATACTGCTTCCGCCCGCCCCTCCTGCAACCCGGGGCCTTCAGTTTACTCACACACCTGTTTCACCGCTTTTGATCTCTGCTTTGATTTTGGAGTCTGTAACTCTACTTGGCTTTCTTGATTGCCGGCGAAGCGGGGTAGCAAGGAGAGCCGTTTGAGGTTTGGCTCTTGCATTCACCAGCAGTTGTGGGGCCTCAGGCAAACCCCTCTACCCCTCTAGAGTTCAGTGTGCTCTTCTAAAATGGGTGTAATAATACCCTTGCTCTGAGAGCTAAGGGATACATTGCATGCGAACTCTTTGGAACGTAGTAGGAGCTTAGTAAGAGAATAGTTACGGTATCTGTTTTCTGTTTTCCTTGGAGCATGTCTTTGTGTTTCGTTAAGACTGACCTCCTTGGGGCGCCTGGGTGGCTCAGTTGGTTAAGCAACTGCCTTCGGCTCAGGTCATGATCCTGGAGTCCCGGGATCGAGTCCCGGGATCGAGTCCCGGGATCGAGTCCCGGGATCGAGTCCCGGGATCGAGTCCCGGGATCGAGTCCCGCATTGGGCTCCCTGCTCAGCGGGGAGTCTGCTTCTCCCTCTGACCCTCTCCCCTCTCATGTGCTCTCTCTCTCATTCTTTCTTTCAAATAAATAAATAAATAAATCTTAAAAAAAAAAAAAAGACTGACCTCCTTGATCTCATTTGTTCAGTTTGTCTCGGTCAGTGATCTCCCCTATTTTCCTTTTTATTCTCCCTGTCCCTTGAACCCCCTAAGTCACCCCTCTCCACGTGCCATGGGAGGGCCTTCTCTCCCCCCAACTATGTCTTACCCGTTTCATTTTAATAGGACACATTGCTGGGATCAGTCTATTGTGTTTGAAGCCAAGGTACTCGTTACCTTTGATGGAGGGGCAGGAATATACGGTTCGTGAAGGTCTACTGTGTGCCAGATGTTCTCATTATAGATTTCATTTAATATTTTAAAATATTAAGTTCATAAATGATACATAAATGTTCTTCTAAACATTTCAAACATTGCAGATAAAGTTAATGACCTTTTACTAATCCTGGCTTCCTCATCTCTCTCACCAAACGTTATTCTTACGTGTTTACCTTACCTTTTCTATACTTTTACATACAATATACATATGTATTCATAGAAATCATATATTATTTTGTGTGCATATGCATATATGTGTGGGTTCATGTTGGATTCCTTGATTTGCTATTTTCTCCTAGTATTGGGCCTTGGAGACCTGTTCATAGTACATACAGATCTCCCTTATTCCTTCTACTTTTTGCATAACATTCCATTGTGTGACTAGCCATTTCCCTATGGGTAATATATGTTGTTTATAATTGTTACTATCACAAACAATGCTATAATAAACATCTTCTTCATGCATACATGCAGATGTTACTCTGGGACAAAGAAAAAGTATTGCTGGGTCATAGGTTGTATACATTCAATCAATGCTACCAAATTATCTCCCCGGAGACTGCACCAATTTATGATCTTAACAGCTGTATATGAGAATGTTTTCCCCCCATATTTATGCCACTATTTTATGTTGCTAACCTTGTAAAGTGAGGAGTGCCTGGGTGGCTCATTTGATTAAGCATTCGACTCTTGGTTTTGGCCTGGGTCATGATCTCAGGGTCCTGGGATTGAGCCCTGACTGACTTGCACTGAGCAGGGAGCCTGCTTAAGGTTCCCCTCCCCCTCTCCCTCTGCCCCCCTGACTCCCCCGCCCCCCCCCCCGCTCCTTCTCTCTCTCACTCTCTCTCAAAACAACTTGTAAAATGGGTAAAAATTGATGTTTCATTATTTTACCTTTTCCAGGATTAAGAATGAAAATGAACAATCTTTGTATGTTGATTGGTAACTTGTAGTTTTCCTATGAGTTTGCCTATTTCTCAATTGGATTTTTTTCTTATTCTTGTTAAATGTTATATATTCTTGTAGTAATCATTTAATATGTATGTTGCAAATACTTTCTTTGACTTTATAGCTTACATTCTAACTTTGTTTATGGTCTTAAAGTTTCAAATTGGGGGCGCCTGGGTGGCTCAGCTGTTGGGCATCTGCCTCCGGCTTGGGGCATGATCCCGGGGTCCTGGGATCGGCCCTGCATTGGGCTCCCTGCTCAGCGGGAAACCTGCTTCTCCCTCTCACACTCCCCTTGCTTGTGTTCCCTCTCTCGCTGTCTCTCTCTATGTCAAATAAATAAATGAAGAAAATCTTTGGGGGGAAAAAAGAAGAACAGGAATCAAAGTCTTTATTTAAAAAAAAGTTTCAAATTGGATAAATTTGATACACTGTTTTTCTCAGTGGCTTTGAATTTCATGTCTTACTCCAGAACATTTTTTTCCACACCAAAATCATCAGGGCTTCATCCTATATTTTCTTTTACTACTTTTTTGCTTTCCTTTTTATGAATTTGAATTTACTTTTGTGATTGGTATAAATTGGGGATTCTAATCTAATATAGCCTATGGTAATTCATTTATACTTTTAAAACACAGTGTGTGGGATATTTACATAACAGAACTACAGAGATTACAATCTGTATGTGATGTGACTGATTTTCTGTCCGTCCAGTTATCTGGTCCTTCATTCATCAGTGGGATTTATTTATTGAGTAACTACTATTGCCGGATGCTGTGGTAGTATATGGAATACAGTGGAGAACAACCTGTCCTCATGGAGCTAACTTTCATGTGGATGTGTGTGTTTGGGAGGGAAGAAACATATTTGAATAAATTACTTATGATTGTGGTAGGTTCTACAAAGGAGAAGTACAACCTATTACAAGAGCTTATGACTGGTGGTCCTAATCCAGGTGATGGTGCTGGTAGAGAGGTGGTTAGGGGAAACTTTCTTGAGTGGTAAGCTTTGAGCAGAGTTCTGAAGGATGAGTGGGCAGGCTGAGATTGGGGGTGGGAGTGGGAAGTGGGGTAAGAAAGAATATTTGAAGTAATAGTGTGTATGCAAGGGTCCTGAAGTGGAAAGGAGCTTAGGGTATTGGAGAAACTGAGAGGATAGTGTGTCTAGGGCCAGAGAGCAATAGAGAAATATATGAGATGGACCTGGTATTGTGAACAGGGATCAGATCCGATAGACCAAATGTCTTATAGACTAAATTAAGCATTATCTCTTACAGTTAATGGGAAGCCACTGAAGGATTTTAATCAAGTGACATGATTAGATAGAGATTTTTATAAGATCTTTCTGGCCACAGAAGAGAATGAAGGGGTCCAAGAGTAGATTGGGAAAGGTGATTTACAAAGTTATTATTGTAGGTCAAGTGCTTGGACTAAAGCCATAGTGTAGAGATGGGGGCATTAGGTTGTTGTTGTTGTTTTTTAAACAGTATTTGATGAAGACCAAAGAACTAATTATTAGGAAAATGGTTGCTTCTGCACTTGGAAGAGAGAGACTATTTTCGAAAAATTAAAGAAATGGCAGGAGTAATTAGTGGAGTGGGCTGATCTGAAAGTGTGTGTCATTCTACTCTTTTAGTTGTTCAGTCTGAGACGAGCTGAATACCAGGTACAAGAAGTGGATGGTTCTGGAAGAGTCATGTGTAAATGGCATTTTTATAATTGAACTCATTTAAACTTGCAAGGAGAATATGTAATTCAAAGTGGTGGTGAGCCACTTGCTCAGGCACTAATGCTTAGGTAAATATGTAATCATGTCCAATTCTTTGTCTATTCAGCTTTTCTTGTATTGGAGTTAAAAATTTTGTCTCCAAGTTGGTTGGTCATTTATGAATATCATGGAATTATAAGAGCCTGATAAAAACAGAGATGACTTTGGATGCACCTTAAGGAAGATGGCAGGAAAGCTTTAGTCTAAGGCACATTGAGAAAAGTGCTCTGTAGCTGGGTAAGCTTGGGAAAGGCATATTCTCTATCTTCCTCTTGGGAGTTTCTAATGCATGTGAAGATTATTAGAACTGAAAAAGTAAAGCTGAATTTATTACTTGACAGGTAAAGGAGAGCTGTATCACTCAAAAGTGACTTTGGTCTTTCTGAGTTACAAGGGAAGGGCTAGATCGTGGATAAGGAAAGGAAGTTTTGCCCAAATAAGGCAGGAACAAGAGGCCACCATTTGATTGGTTGAGGAGAGGATTGTAAAGTCTCCTTTTGAAACGGTCATTGCTCTGGTTTACATCACTAATAGTAGGCACAGTTCTTAATAAAAGCAAGATGATATAACAGGCAGTTTTATATGCATAAGCTTGGGAGTTAGAAATTTTTTTTCAACATAGTGTTAAAGATTCTGAGAAATTGAGTAGTGAAGGAACCTGCTTAACCTTGTCTAACTCTGTATGTCCCCCGATTTGAATACTTGAACCCTGTTTTTAATAACTAATGTATTCTTGGAACACATCATGGAAACAACCGCTTTACCTAAGTGTGTACATTTTTCAGGAACAAATTAACTCAAGACCTCATTGTCAAGGATTTGGCTCAGCTGTATGCATGAGCTCCACCTTGTCATTAGAGTTATCAGTAGTAGAAAAATAATTACTATCCAGGGATCTGAGTAAGAGGTTGTTTATGATATTGTTTGGATGAGTTCTTGTGTAATTTCTTATTCTCTTGGAGAAAGCTGGGGTATGTACATTTGGGGAAGATATTTGGGTTCTAGAGCCCTAAGAAACAAAGAGCAATGTAAAGTCAAGCTCTGCCATGTTTTCTCTGTGGCCAGGGCTCTTTTTCCTCAAAACACACTCTGGCTCCTGTAGGCACTGGAGGTAGACAACACACTCCCTGGTGACTTTGGAGGGACCATGTTGGTGAAGATCTAAGGCCGGGCTGCCTAGAAGTCTTGTAACCCATTTCATTCTTGATGTTCAGGTGTTGGAACAT